TAAACACAAGACAAGACAAGAGACAAGCACAAGCATAAGCACGAGCACGAGCACGAGCACGAATTTGGACGAGAGGCGCCTCGTGTGTCGTGTACTGCCAGTGGCAGGTACGTTTCGAGGAGTGTTTAGAGAGGAAAAAGTCGAGGAAGGAGGTTTCGGCGAATCAAAGTGGTTATAAAGTGAAACGCGCCGCGCGAGGATCAGCCGCTAAAGTAATGATATGCGAGGAGGATAACAGAGCAGCGGTGAGAAGAGGGCATCGTCGGTGAGGACATTGTCAAGACGCTTAATGTGCGCGGTGCGGGCGCGTGGTACGCTCGAGGCGGCCACAAATGAAGAAGAGGGAAGCCACGACGAGGGTGGTAGAGAGGGAAGATGTCGAGTGGCTCGGCCTCAAAGCTCGTGAACGGTCAGAATAAGAAGGAGAACGTTCACGCGTACAAGCACGAGAACAGGAAGGGGAATGAGAGCGGCGCTGCTGGCAGCACTGCCTCTTCCATAGTTGTTCTCGCTGGTGATACTAGGAACGCTACTACTCTTGATGCCGCTACTGGAACTGGTACTAGTGCTTCTAGTATTAGCATTTCCGGCAGTGTTTTTGGTAGTGATAGTGGTAATGGTGGTACCGCCTGTTTCGGTGGTAGTTGCGGTGACGGTGACAGCGGTAGTAATAGCGGTGTCTGTGTTATCGGCTTGACCGCCGGGGGCGTCGTCGACAGCGTGGAGTACCACGACGTAAACTCTGACTTGAAAACGCCGGACAATCTCGAGGAGATACAGGATCAAAGGGACTCGACCGACGAAACGGAGTTGTGTGAAACGGAGTTTCAGGACCCGTACCCGGGGACGTGTATCGAGGCGCCAATCGTTAATCTCACCACCACCACTACCAACGCTACCGATACTACCACTACCATCTTCACTATCATCGAGCACGACGATCAAACGACCACGGCTGTTTCTGCCGCCACTTCTTGTTACGAGGGAGACGAGGACGAGGACAACGAGGAGGACGACGACAACATGGTTGCGGCGATGAACGAACATTTGTCCACCACGTCGGCCACCAGCGGCGTTCGGAGTAGCACGGTGTCGACGACCAGCACTGCTGCTAATTCCATTCTCGGTCAGAACAATAATTGTTCCCGTAATGAATTCCAAAACGTTGACGAGAACGGTAAACCGGCCGCCGGGATACTCAGTTTCCCTTGTGATTTCGATCACATGTACGCCAGCATGACAGACGGCGGAGCTCCGGCAGCTGCCACTGCCACCTCCGCTCTCGGTGTCAGCCCTCTTCGAGGCAACGAACCGCGTCAAAATGACTTGACAGAGGTGAAACACCTCAAAGAACTGTTGCTT